GTTCTGCTGTTCAAGTCTTATAATTGCTGAGTCGAGAATACCGATGAATTTGTCAATCGAAATTTTTTCGTTTTCAATAACCTCTGTGTCACTTTCTTCATTATCGGAAGCGAATTATAATGACAAGGAACTTGTTTTAAATCATATCAAAGACGGAGTACATTGAGATGAAATACTACATTTAGTAAGGAATTCTAAGGCAAATAAAATAAAAACATCTGCCCTGAAGATAAGGATAGTGATGACAGATCAACTTCCAATTCATTGCGCGCCGCGTCGTTTCCCTCCCACTGCAGAGCAGCGTGAAATTGATAAACATATTTCGGAATGATTAGATAATCAAAGGATATGCCGGTACTATTCGGTTTTGAGGGCCGTAAAAAAATTCCAGCGAAAATGTATGCGCGAAAGCCCCAAATCTAGCAAACACGCCCATTTAACAGCGTGCCAAATCTAGTGTACGCGCTGATTTCAGATTGCATAAGTTTATATAGTTCTATATTTCTTAACACGCCATTGAAATACTAGTTTAATTTTTAATTCCTTTTTTGATAACCTATGGATTTAATAATTTGGGAATTGCCCATGATGAAAAGTCTGCGATAGAATTATGGGTAAAGTGCAGAATCACCCACTGCTTGACGCGTTTTTAAGAATTGCAAATACTCGGTATCCATGTGCACATCGACTTATTTTCACTTAAAAAAAATTCCAGAATTGCACAAAAAATGGCACTGCGCACACCCCTGACTTTATCTATGTACACATCAACCTATTGTCACTTAAAACTAAAAAAAAAAAATTGACAAAAATCCAATTGTTTTAATTGTTTTTTTCCCTTGTAAAAAGCGGCAAACAAATAAGTGGGCAATTCTTTCTGCACTTTACCGAGAATGTTTTCAAAGAAAAGGCATCATTCATTATAGAAAATTATGTTTGAACAACCAAACGAGATGACATTATGCTTTAGCGATAACTCGGTAGCGAAATATTATATCAACTTAAACTTTCATCTAAATTAAAACATCAATATTAGATAGTTATTTACTATTATACTTCCTTTCTTGCGTTAGGGTTGCCGCAATTACTTTTGGCAGCATTGGCATCAACAAAAGTTTGGCGATTTTTTACGGCCCTCGAAACCGAATAGTACCGATATGCCTTTATCAATTTTGGCTAATCTTTGAAATATGTTAACAGGTAGTTTGGCTACATTTTGGTCAGGCGATAAAAGTTACTAGCTAGGACTTTAGCAGTGTACATGGATAAAGTCAAGAGTGAGCGCAACGCCATTTTTGTGCAATTCTGGGATGTTTTTTTAAGTGAAAATAGGTCGACGTATACACGGATGATACCGTGTATGTGCAATTCTTAAAAACGCGGCAAGCAGTGGGTGATTCTGCACTTTCTCTCAATTTCGCACCTTATCTTCATCATGATTAAGCACTTTTGTTCCATAAAAGTTCTAGCATAAACGTAATTCGGCTAGCAGATTGTTGGAAAAAAATTTTGAGTTAAAAAAAAAAAAAAAAAGCCTTTACTTCGTGAAAACAAAATGGCGTCCAAAAAAAAAAAAAAACTAGCAGGTTGCTGTAGCAGGGTTGGTCGCCAAATTTTTGCCAAAAATCGCCAAGTTACCATAATTCTACCATAATCCATAAGATTAACCTCAATTTTTTGCAGCAATTCCACTTTCTGTTTAATGGACTTCGAAACATACTTTCGCTTTATAGATCCTTTACATATTAGTAAATATATATCGGAAATTCTATTTGACATAATTGAAAGTTCAAGCTTCCTTTTATAAAATTGCTCTAACAGTCTGCAAAAAATAATAAGCCGGATCCAATTCGAAGATTAAGGAATAACACAATCTGCAACATTAACTGAATTAGATAATTTTAGCTTAGCTTATACCGTCCATTATACATTAAATGCGCATGCATAAACGTATTATGCTCATGCGGACACTCATATTTGCAGCCGTAAAGGTCTTACGCGCACGCGTAAATGCCTATGTGCATGCGTCAATGCGACGCACGAGCAGAAAGTTTGTAGCTTTTTTTTCCGGATTATGGGTGTCCGAATTAATGACTTTTGACTGTATATCGTAGCTTCTGGCTCTCACTCTCAAAGAATTTTTGTGTTGCAACATGGCCATGGAAAACTTGTTTTCTGCATGCATTTTGAATTGCACTTACAGATATTGTTCTTCCCATGTTTCACAATTCTCCTGTAAGTTTAAGAGCACTTACTTTCGGATCTTTTTTCAATGAACGTGCCAGAAATCCTCTGTCAACAGATGCAAGTAGATACAGTCATCCTGAACAAGCACTATTTTGCACTGTTCTGGAAGTAATAAACTTTTAAATAATTGATTGCACAGTTGGAGGTGGTCTGCTGACTAAAACTCAAATTTCGTTGTATGATTTACCGCCTTTACGAAGCTTTAAAATTAATTCTCTTTCAGAAATACTCATTTCTTTACCTTTACAACTCATGTTAAAATTTACATTTTTTATCCCATTTAAAGTTACACCCAATCATTTTATATAACTTGCAGAATAAACGATATCAGTTACATACAAAAAAAAAAAAAAAAAAAAAAAAAAAAAAAAAAAAAAAAAAGACTAAACCAATTAGAAAATGCTACCAAAATTTGGCATTAATTTGAATATACAAATACTTCTTATGTGCCAATAAATCCCCAATTTTTAGCTTTCCACATATTTAAAAACTAATTTAGTAACTTTTCAAAATTGTTTTTTGCACTCATACTTGGTAAACAATTTTTATTAGTTATTGCCTTTTGAAGAAGTTTGATAGAATGAGCATGCCAAAACAGTAGTTTCTTTTGTGAAACCAATCTTTTATAATTTCTACACTCACTGTAAATAGTTCAATAATACTGAGTTCTATAGCTGCATAATATATATAGCTGGTGCTACATTCATATAAGAATTAAATTGTATGGAACAAAATAAACATTGTTATGTCTTTGTCACTAGAAGAAATTTTTATAAAAAGCAGATAGAAAACAACTAAAGTAAACATAAGAAGTACGAGTTGTTTACTTTCGATTAGAGTAGATTTAAGGTTTTGATTAGAGTAGATTTAAGGGTGCCCCTTGAAATATCGCTAAGTTATTTCATTTATGGTAACTTGAGTAGTTGAATATTATGGAAATCCTATCAGGACGCAATTGGTTGCATGATTGTGGTGAATTTGAATAATGGGAAAAATTTAAAAAGGCTTTTGTGTATCGGATTTTGGATAAGAAGTACGTTTTGTGGTTTACATGGTAAGATGGTTGAATGTGGTAATATTAATTTGAAGTTTCTCTACGATTTGGAACGAAAGGGAAAAAAGCATTAATTGACTGGTGTGTAAATGAAGGGGTTTACATAGTAGCAATTATAAGTGCCTTGTTTGTAGGAAGGAAATATTTATGGTCGGAGGATACCAGCACTACAGAGGATATTTCTGACTCTTATTTTTGTGAATTTATGTGGCGACGCCAATACACACATTCTAGTTCAGATAATTTTCAGAAGTTTTTGGATGCTGTTAAGGAATTTTGTTTGACTGAAGACACGGAAATTCGCAAATAAGATTAAGATATTTCCTTCATCTAGTGCTAAGATGAATTTCCTTTTTTATGTTATTAGTCCAAAAGCGCTTTGTCCATGAAGGACTATAAATTTCATTTTGCGTTGGAAACATTTTTTTGTGCCCGTTTCACTTTTCAAATTTGTGCTTATGTTTTTGTGTTGGGTTGGTTTTTAAGTTTGTTCTTGTGTTTGGTTTTTGAGTTTATGTTCGGTTGGTTTTGTGTTTGGCAAAATGCCCCTTTGGATGTAATCTAAAATCTGAATCCATTCAGTTATTTTTTTTGGTAAAATCCTAGTATACGGTGCAGCCTTGGCGCGATTTTGAAAATTATCGCCAACACCAAAAATGATCCAAAGAACGTCTATATATATACTATGTATGTATATACATAATATACATGTATAACTATATATATTCTTTGAATGACCCGTTTACTACTCATCGTATATGTCGCGTTTTTACTGCTCATCATAAAGTCACCAAAAGTAGCCAAATCCCGTGTGCACTGGATACTAGGATTAAACCTTTTTTTTTCTCTATTTGATTTAAAATGTAGTTTATTGAGATTATACATTTCCTGTTTTGCTACTTTGACTTTTTAAGTGAATATTGATCAATGTGTGCATGGACAAAGTCAAGGGAATCCACAATGCCTAGTTTGTGCAATTCTCTGAAGTTTTTATAAGTGAAAAATAACTCGATTTGCACATGGATACCCAGTTTGTGCAATTCTTTGACGCAAAAATCGCCGCTACACAAAGCCAAAATAACAAGTCGAAGAATTGCATAAACTCGGTGTCCATGTACCGCCAAAAATCACCAGTTATCCACAAGGGGCACCCGTTAATATATTTTTATCCCTTTTTCTCTTTTCATTACTGAACATAACATCTAGCATATTTTATAGGTATTAAAAAATATGGAATTATACAATAAAACACTACCAGAAATGGGGCTAAATTCACCCACAGAAGATAATTATGTCATAAAATTCATCTTTAAAAACTGAACAAATCATAAATAACAATAAAATACACAAAAATCATCATTAGTCTATAAAATAATTGCATGTTATAGACCCATTACGGGGGAAAAGTTTTTTAATTTTCCTACGTTAAAACATAATAATGTAGCTAAATGATTTGAAAACTCTTGCCTATCGCGATAAAAGCATAATACGCAGTTCCTTTCTTTTTCGGAACATATCAAACATATTTAAATGGAAGTAAATTTGAACAAATATACTAAGAAGAAATTTGTACAACTACATAAATAAAAATAATCACACTTTTCATTCACTATTCTCAATTACACCAATATGTGCAACGTACAGTAAAGATATCATTATGAAGAAATGAAACAACATCTCTCATAACAGCGAAACTTACCTAGCTTTATGACGGTCGCCTAAACTAGTAAGATCAACAATGCTTCCATTTTTATAAACACATTGACATGAATTTACATATGTACATTCTTCAGATGAAACATACTGTATTAAACTCGAAAGTGTGAACCACAAAAAAAATAAATAAATTCTTTTTACGTCAACATCGAAGACATCCAAACCCTTAAACTTTTTCATTGCAGACCTACCTCAACTTTCAAACAGGTGCGGTTAGACAGACCATTAGCAGGATGAATATGAAAACATGTGATTCTCTTTCCGTTCCCAACAACAAAAATAATAATAAAAATTTTAAAAATGCCAAGTTTTTGACATTATAAATATTTATAAGTTTTTAATAAACACATATTTAATTCTAAAATATATTCTAAAAAAACGGAGCTTTATGTTAAGGAATTTTTGCTTCAGTAATATTAAAAAGATAATAACTCTGCAAATTAATTGCTTATGGTCTTCTTAGAAAATTATCTAGTAATAAAATCGAAAACTTTTAACAGAAACTAACCTTTATTCAGTGAACTAGTTCCTAAAATACTAGAGCAGTTTTATTTGTCAGGAATGAATGGTTAAAAAAAATGGGCATCAGCATCGAATATAAACATATCCATAGGTCTGCTGTTGACGTTAGCAACCGGGTAGAATGCGTTGTTAGTTGTTTCGCCACGTGTATTATATAAATATAGTGATTTTTTTTATCAAATGAAGTAAAATTAAAATGCATAGCTGTCTGCAGTGTGATATAACGTTTTTTGTCCATGGCCTTCCCGAAGATAATACGTCGCCGCCGATTCAATACACTTAAAATAGCTCTTGTTGCTTTTGCAGTTATAGGAGTATTATTTTGGTTCTACCAAGTGCAAAATGTGATTGGTGATGCATCTCCAAATATACATCATTCAGATGTTCTCCCTAGAATTGCTGATAAAAATGCGTATAAACAGGTCAATTCCAAAGAAGCAAATAAAAATCACATAAATTTTTATTCTGTGTTTAAAAAACATGAGAAAAATGTTAGTGTCTTCCGGAATCCTGCTTTGCTTCATAAGTTACAAGCTGAGGCTTCAAACATTATCCTCAAAAACTTTAAAAAGAAATCATCTGTTATAGCATATAGTCCAGCGTTTAATGATAAAAAGAGCTTTATTAAAAGTTATAACAATTATTCTTTACCATTCATGAGAGTAACTCCTGGATTAGGTGAAAATGGTGTTCCTGTTCATTTATCACCCGAAGAACAGAAATTAGCAGACAAGTTATTTAATGAAGCCGCCTTTAATGTCTATTTAAGTGATAGAATATCTCCCAATAGAAGTGTTCCTGATCCAAGGAATCCAAAGTAATTTTCTTATGTCGTATTTTTTCTCCACCTGTAATAACAGGAATATTGGGAAAAAATTCAAACATCTAAATATTTTTGCTTGTTTTTTAATTGGAAATTTAAACCAAAATTGCTTTTTTTGTATGTATATTAAACTGGTAAATCTTTATTTATGTATTTTTGGAATTGGAAAATGTACTACTTAATATTCTAATCAAAGTTCTTATCAATTAACAACTATAAAGTAATAGTGCTTTGTTTGTTTAGCTAACATAATGAACTAAGAAAAGAAACTAGAAGCATGCTATTTGTGGCTAAAGTTCAGAATCGCCCACTTATTTGTTTGGCTCTTTTTACAAGAGTAAGAATTGGATTTTTCTTAATTTTCTTTGACTTTTTAAGTCAAAATAGGTCGATGTGTACGTGGATAAAGTCAAGAATGTGCGCAATGCCATTTCTGTGCAATTCTGGAATTTTTTTCAAGTGAAAATAGGTCGATGTGTACATGGATATCGAGTATGTGCAATTCTTAAAAACGCGCCAAGCAGTGGGCGGTTCTGCACTTTCCCCCTATTTGTCACCATAGTATATTTTGTTATTATAACAAATAAGTTATTATAGTTTAGGTGAGAAAAAATTGTTTGCAAAAAACATATTAATAAAATTTAAATTAAACAAAGAAAAAAAAAAATTTTTTTAATGCACATAATAATAATTTTTTAATGCACATAATGAAATAAAAGCAATTTTTCACAATTAAACATATTCCATTCATTTATTTTCAACATTTAAGAATATTTTAGAATTAAAACCTATTCAAAGTAGCAGAAAAATATATTTAACTTATTGAAAATTAACATATCTGAAATACACTTAACATGTAAATTAAAGCAGTATTTTAAAAAATTGAAAAATTTCTCCTTTTTAAATAAATTGCTATCCTTTTTTTAAGTAACCTTTATCGCCTTACCAAAATGTTGCCAAACTACCTGTTACCATATTCTAAAGATTAGCCAATTGTAGATGCACATCTAAAACTGGATATTTACAGAGGTAGAAGCTATATTTTCCCTTGTCATTGCTGTGTTGAATTGCTCACCTTTTTGCTGTGTCATTTTGTTGAAAGTAAACAGTGCTGATGTCTGAAGATCAGAATTATACTCTGGAACAATGATCTCTAATTGTTTTTGGTCACATGTCAATTAGACAAAAGTAATTATAAGTTGTATGCCATGTAATCATACACTCGCAAGTGATTGTGAGCTTACTTCTTTGGTGTACCACCAATAATCAGGCCGATGCTATTCGCACCAACATTAACCACGCATGCGCATTGAGTTGTCAGATCCGTCATTTGAACCGAATCGAAAAGAATGAATTCTATGTGTGCGAACTGCCTAAGTGTGTTGTACTGAATCTTTTTTTTTTATAGGTGGGTTACTTACTACCTTGGTGTAGTTTATCATTTTTTAAGCGTTGGCGACTTTCTAAAGTTTAGAAAGGAAAATGGATTCCTTTTCTTATAAAAAGAAGGAACACATTTCCTTCATTACATTGATTAAAGTATATATAAAAAAGGGCAGATTTTTTATGTTCGCAATGTTTATCATTTTCTTGAACGGTTGGAATAGTTTAAAAGACTGATTTTTTTTTTTGGGGGGGGGGGGGACAAAATCTTGTTTACATTTTTTGTACATTTAGCTTCAAAGATGTGTTTTTGCGCAATCAAGACTTTAATTCAATCCTCTTTGAAAATTTTCGTCCGAGAAAAGATGATAAAAATTAGACAGAGGATTTCTGTGTAGAAAATTTAAACATGAAATAAGTTAAAAGCAATTAAATCAACTATTAAATAAACAATTAATCATATACAGTCAAAAGTCTTTAATCCGAACGTCCATAATCCGGAATGATCTATAATCTGGACCTCAAAGCTAAAAAACTTTCTGCGCATATATGCATAATACCTTTACGCATGTGCGTTTAATGTATAACGGATGGAATAAGCTAAGCTAAAATTATCTAATTATCTATTACAGTTAATGTTGCAGATTGCATTGTTCTTTAATCTTCGAATTGGATTTGGCTTATTATTTTTTGCAGACTGTTAGAGCAATTTTATAAAAGTAAGCTTGAACTTTCGATTATGTCGAAAAGAATTTCCAGTTCTGGAGCTGCCAAAGGATCTACAAAGCGAAAGCATGCTTCGATGTCCATCAAACAAAAAGTGGAATTGCTGCAAAAAAAGGATAAAGCCATATCCTTTGTTTCTCTAACCATTCCGAAATTTGTTTATCAATTTCACGGTGCTCTGCGGAAAGGGGGGGACAGTGCGGCGCACAATGAACTGGAAGTTGATCTGTCAGCACTATCCTTATCTTCAGGGCAGGTGTTTTTATTTTATTCGGCTTATAATTCCTTACTAAACGTAATATTTCATCTCAATGTACTCCGTCTTTGATATGATTTAAGTCAAATTCCTCGTCATTATAAATATCACGAATACACATTAAATAGTTTTCTGGTTGCAATTTTCTAATTTCGACCATGCGTAATGTATACTTTACGCATGCGCACGTTGAAAGATATGTTTAATAAAGTAATAAAATAAATATTAACCGGTTTTTTTTTTTTTTTTTTTTGTAAATTTTGATACCCTTTAGATTATAATTGTTATTTCATAAATTACGGTTTCATATTTTTTATTTTGTAATTTCTGCATGCCATTTCATTTACCAGATTTAAATTGATGATCTGTAATCCGGAATCACCAAGTCTCGAGAAGTCTGGATTAAAGACTTTTGACTGTAATACTGGTTATTAACAATTCTGTATGTCTGTTTATTTATTTTTTTTTTTTTATGGAAATACTTGGTATTTTCAGGATACAAAAAGTACTTCAAAGAACTTTGAAATATTAGTGCAAACACATTAATAAATTAAATTGAAATAAATAATGTGATGTAATTTGAAAAACAGAAATAATTTAATGTAAGATATTTAGATTTAAAAATTTGCATACACGAATGATTTATCATATTTTATTTCATAAACAACTTTTATTTATATATTATGGCATTTGAACCTATGAACATGTGTGGATACTGAAAAAGTGATGAATATATAAGAATATTATAATTTTCAGTAAGTTTTCTTTGAATATTAAAGTCTGACAATCCTATGCTATAAAAAATTCCTCTGTTAAATAAAAGAATTTGAGTAATTTCTGTAGCCTTTTTGTCAATACATTAAAGATTTTTTAACTAATTATACGTCCTCACTTGCAATTAAAACCATCATTAAATCCCTATTTTATCTAATCATTTCCTGAACATTATCATGTATATAGATTGACCTCATCTTTGTATCTGATAATTATTACTTGCAATTTATTCTTTTGCTGGTGAACTGTTAAACCTTTCTATTGCTGAGTTAGGGTTAAAAAACTTCGCTCTCGCTAGCGCTTGCCTTACGGAAATTGGCGTAAAATGCTGGTTCTTGGGCTGATTGTGCGCATGCGCGAGCGTAGGTGGTGTTAATAGCTTCTTAGCTATTCACACCGTCAGTGAGATTAGCCACTGCGTAATAATCATTGCATATCCCATAGGACATATGTATCCCACTTTGGAGACCACTGCTGTAGAATATGATTATGAGCAATTTCATGATTATCTGTTTGTGCATAAAGTTTTCTGGCTAAAAATGTGGACCTGGAAATAAAAGTAATTTAAAAATAACTGTTACAATGTAGTTTATAATTGTAAATTTATGGGCAAATCAGAGGTCATCTAGGACTGCCCCATATATCGTGACACATAAAATAATATCAATTATTGACTTTTAAAAGGGGAAAATTTGCAAAGGGATCTGCAGCACAAAGAAAGGCAATAAATATATTTTTAAATAAACTATGCAAATTCAAAAACCTCATTAAAAATGAATAATATAAGAACATGCAGTGAGAGCAAAAAGGTGCAACACAGTGCTAATATACGATTACATGGCGAGGTATAAAAACATGCAGGCAGATTTTGACGATATATCTCGTTTGGCGATTCAATCTTGGGAGGGGGCTGGGGCCTCTATAACAAAGAAGTACCCCTTTTTTATGGGCAGTGTCAAGGTGTATTGGTATACAAAAATACTAGCTAGGTAGTTTGAAATTAACAGGATGGCCAATCCTAATATAGAAAGTATTTTAACCTTCTAAAACCATGCCAAAATTCTCATAATATAGCCTTCAGACCAGCGTGATATAAAACAACTTTTGCCCCCTCTTTGACATTTTCCTAATGAGAAAAGTCGTTAGTCCCTTCTCCATGAATGCAGTAAAATTTACATGTTTGTCAGACGCTGTTCCATAGTAAATGGGTTGCTAGATTTGCGATTTTTTCGATGATTATTTTGCTTTCATTTAAATGAAGTTCTAGTTAGAACAAAATGTATGCAATGTTTACATTTCATTTACTGTTTCTGATCAATCTCGGCAATAATTTGTGAATTTTATAGCTTTGTTTTCACACTTCATTTATATTCGCACATTTTTGTATTAGAAATTAGAAAACGAAAACAAAATTTTACAAAATATAATAAATACAAACTAGATTTGTAAGTCTGCAGGTTGGAATGCAATTTTTAATAACATAATAAGCACTATCCTTATCTTCAGGGCAGATGTTTTTATTTTATTCGGCTTATAATTCCTTACTAAATGTAGTATTTCATCTCAATGTACTCTGTCTTTGATATGATTTAAATCAAATTCCTCGTCATTATAAATATCACGAATACACATCAAATAGTTTTCTGGTTGCAGTTTCCTAATTTCGACTATGCGTAAATGTATGCTTTACGCATGCGCGCGTTGAAAGAAATGTTTGATAAGTAAACAAATAAATATTAAGCTTTTCTTTTTGTAAATTTTGATACCCTTTAGATCAGGTTTCATATTTTTAATTTTATAATTTCTGCATGCCTTACCAGATTTAAACTGATGATCCGGGAAAACCGATAGTCCGGAATTGCCCGACGAGTCCGGATTAAAGACTTTTAACTGTATTACATTGGACTGTCAGGCAAAGGAAGTATATCTTTACCGAGAATTTTTCTTTGTAAAATTGGCTTTTGTTTATGTTAGCAGAGAAAAAAAAAATCTGTGACCTATACATGCAATCATCAAAAGTATTTTTCAGTGCAGTTTTAAATGTTTATGGAGAATTGTATGTCAATTTCCTTTCATAGGCAGAAATTTCACCTGAAACCATCATTATATCCAAAGGTTGAAGTCTCTTTCATTTTCAACGAATATTCTATTTGCACATAATATATTTTCTAATTTATTTTAGAAAGAGTAATTTTTCATGTTTTCAAAAGAATAAATGCTTACTGGGTGTTGACACTTACAATGTAGTAAATCTGTTTTTCATATTTCTTCCAGTAATCAAAACGATTGCCCTGGAATATTTTCAAAGCAAAATTAAGAAAACTGTTTACGCCAAATTTTGCATAAAGTATCTTCTCGTGTATTTTTTATTTAAAGTGTGAAATTTTCTCCTTGAAAAATAAAAAATCATGAACGGAGCAAACTTAATTCATGAGAAATAACTTTGAAATGCAATAATTCCATCGTAATATGATATAGAGGAGAATAGTGCAATACAGCTTATTTATTCACAAATAATCCCCTCATATGCCTAATTTATGTACTGTCGATTGAGAAATATAGGTTAGTAAATTAAACTGGTTATTTCAATACTTTTTCTTTATAAATTTTTTTTACGGGCCCTTCAGTAGAGCAGTAAAGGTGGCTGAACACTTGTAGCTCACTCGGGTTTTTAATCCCGGCTAAAGGGTTGGATTCATGGTTTTTTTGTAACGTAAATACGAGCCAGCTGCCCTTAGAAAGTCCTCTGCGAAGGCATCCCTCCCTTCATACAGGTAATTGTTGTCTGCTTTGACATAATTCAGTAAGCGAACAAAATTAATCCAATCAAAAACACGGAGAATGGGTTGATTACATGTGGAGTTTTCCATCAGGAACTTAAATGCGAGCAATTTTCTCTTAAAAAGGTGTACACAAAAGCATTCATCCCCTTAAACAGATAGCGTTCGCATACTTTTTTGTAATCCAATCCTAATTCTCATACATTTAATAGTAAGTTGACATACACCTTATTACAGACAAAATAACATTCCTTTTTTAAAGATAAATTTTTTATTAACTTGTCTGAATCTCTTGAGGAGTATAAGAATTTCAGCAAATAAAACTGGCCGAAATTTTATGCAAAGTAACCGATGTTTTGATTCAATTTATTAGAAGTTACGGGAGCTTTAATAATATTTAAGTACTTTTTGACAGATGCCATCCTAAAAGAAAGTCTAAAGATAAATTGGTTTTATTTAATTTACAATGAATGAAAATCATTCAAAGCAATCATTGAATGAAAGAAAATCACAAAAACTATTGTGCATGCAGTTGTCTCTTATTTATCTCTTGATAAATGAGACAATTGCCTACATAATAGAAGCACTTTGAAACAGTTAACAGTTCTTAAGGGTTTTATGCACTCCCCCCAAAAAAAGGGTCAAAATAACATCTTACATTCATACGTATAAAAAGGAAATAAACGATAAAAGCAGTTTAACGTATTTTCTAGAAGGCCATTAAACCTAAAATATTAATCTAATCTTACTTGCTATGATTAAAAAGCGTTGAATCTTGTAAGTTTAAACAGCATGCAAAATCGCTCACGTTTTAATTGTAGCAAAAGTTAGCGCTAAAATTATTAGACAGTGCTCTAACATTGGAGAAAGAGATGGCTTCTATTTGATTTTCAAGTATATTGTCGCGAGACGAAACCTGCGGTTTTTGCCAAAATGTAACCAAACTGATAAGAAGAGGGAAACAATGCATAGCCAGCGGCTATTCTGAGCAGCGGCAATGGACCACCCAGAGATCTACAAATAGGCGATTCTCTAAAATAGGGAGGGGATGGCTGGTACGACAGTTGTACCACAACCGGCATTAAAGAAAGTCATTTTTCCTGGTACAACTGATGTACCGCCGGTTTTAGGAGGTTAAAGTGTTAAGGTTTATGTAAAATGTGTGGAAGAAGCTCTAAAATATACTCGCAAGTAACTGGATGGCTACTTCATATGGCATTCTTTAAATATCAGAACTTTCATGAAAGGCATATTTTTTGAATGGAACTGTAAACTTCAGCTGATGAAGTGGGCAAACTATCGACTTTTGACAGCCGGAAAATTGGATGAACTAGCATGCGTGCATGTTTTAAGCATGTGATTTTTAATTTTCAGTATTCAGTTTTAATATTTTAATATGTAGAAAAATTTTGTTTTTCATGCATTTATATTTATTATCTTATTATTTATTTCTTAGATGTAAATATGTAAAATATGATGCAAAGGATTTGCCTACTGCTAGTGTAGTGATAATTTTTACCAATGAAGTCTGGTCGGCCCTTTTACGAACCATTCATAGTGTTGTAAATCGTTCTCCTCCCCATCTTCTTCATGAAATAATTTTGGTAGATGATTACAGTGATAAGGGTAAGTTTTTCTGCATATTTTGTTTTATAATTTTACAATGTAAAAATTTTTTTTTTTTTAATGCTGTGTATATTATTTATTTTTAAGATGTAAGGCATTATATTAAATCAGCTTGTTTTAATTGAATGAATGAAATTAAGTTAGAGTAGATTGAAGGGTATCTCTTGTATTATCGCGAAGTTGTTATTTCATTTATCGCCAAGTTCTTGTTTCATTTATGGTAACCTGAGTAGTTGAATGTTATGGAAACCCTATTATGGTGTAATCGGTTGCATGATTGCGGTAAATTTTGAATTATGAGATCTTTTGGTGTGTGTTGGTTGCCTGTTTTATTGTTTAGACTGTAGAATTTCTGCATATAGTAAGATTAATTTGAAATTTCTGTACAATTTGGAACGAAAGGGGGGGGGAAAGAGCATTGTGTGTGTAAATGAAGGTTTACTTAGTAGCCATTTTTTGGACAGTCCGGAACTACGGAGGATATTTTTTACTTTTTTTTATTTTTGTGAATTTATGTGGCAAAGCCGATATATGGATTTGAGTTCAGATAATTTTAGGAAGTTTTTGGATGATGTTAAGGAATTTTGTATGCCACAGAATAAAGACACAGAAATTTCTAAATATAATAAGTCGATATTTCCTTTTTGTAGTGCGTATATGTGATAATATGTATTTCTTTTTATATTATTTCATTGTATGATTTAAAATGCAGTTTATTAAGCTTCGATTGGCTACAAATTTTATTCAATTTTGGTGATGAGTAACTTTGTTTTAACATTATAAGTACACCTGTTATGAATCTTCAGTTGGTACAACGTAATAAGAGGCAGATGGAATCTTACTATGAAATAAAAAGATTACCATATCAACACCAAATGCTTTGTGTAGTGCTTAGATGCAAAAAGGTTTTTCCTTTTTTATGTTATTTTATTGTTTGGTTTAAAATGTAGTTTATTGAGATTATGTATTTTTTTGTTTGCCTATACTGTAGAACTGAGTGCTCCTTTGACTTTTTAAGTGAAAATATATAGATATGTACATGGACAAAGTCAAGAAAGTGCACTATGGCAAGTTTGTGCAATTCTCTGATGTTTTTTTAAGGGAAAATAGGTCAACGTATACATGGATAAAGTCAAGGGAGTACATGATGCCTAGTTTGGGCAATTCTGTGATTTTTTTAAGTGAAAATAGGTCAATGTGTACATGGATACTGAGTTTGTGCAATTATTTGACTTGTTATTTTGTCTTTGTGTAGCATCAATTTAAGGCGCTAAAATTGGCACTACACAAAGCCAAAATAATAAGTCAAAGAATTGCACAAACTCGGTATCCATGTACCGCCAATTTTCGCCAAGGGGTACCCGTTAATATTTTTTTACCTGAAATTATTTAGGCTAAGTAGAAAATAAGGCAGTTTTAAATTCAGAAACAGTTGGGGCAACTCTAAACCAGGCTAACTTCATTTCCTAGAAGTGTGTTAATTTAGAACCAGTTCAAAGAATGAGTCTTATGTCCAGCTTTTATCACAGATTTAAAATCTATTATTAGATCTGCATATAACATAGTAGGAAAGTAGAGTATATTTGGAATTCGTTTTCACTATTACGAGTGATAACTGATTACTACTTTGCATCCAAATCAAGTACCAGTTGAAAAAAGTCACTTAGTTATATAAACAGGATTGTACAGTTCTGAAAATACATTAAGTTTTTTTTAAAACAATTTTTTGTTTTTTAAAGCCCTTAATTTCATCCAAAATTTATGAAAGGTTCTTAATTTTGTTCATAAGATACTTCTGTTTCTTTTATTATAACTGCAGATCTAAGCATGACTTAGTATTTTAGATGAATATGGAATTTAAATCATGCTGCGCATAATAGAGCCATTGCAAATTGGTGTTGTAAACAAAAACATAAGACCATAAGAATGAAAGTTTCTGAATACCTGATTGGCTGCACCATTTCAAAATGGATATTATCAACAAGAATATTATCTGTTATCTGCCTGTATAAAATATGAGAATTTCTTGGACTTTGTTGTTATGGTAAAGTGACCATTTTTCTGGTGGACCGAACTGGGACATAATCCTCCAAATCAACCAAAAAATTTTTAATAAATAAATAAATGAAAGCAAAATATACAAACACAATAAAAAATATATTTAAAGTATAAATAATTCATACAAATGATTAGTTGTATTTTGAAACAGAATGAACTTTTTTCAGTAATTCATCGCAAATTTCAATTTGTTCTTTTTTACTCTTTGCAAGTATTGCACTCAGTTATAACTATTTGCTTCATGATATCAATATTCATTTGTGATTTTTCTGCTGCCAACAAACTCTTTATAACAGAAAACACCTTTTCAGTAGCTTCATTAGTACCTGGTAAACAAAGCGGGAATACTATAGGTTTTCTGAGATGCACCAAAAAAATATAATTTTGATTGAAATAATTTAAAATTTGAATCCAGTGCTTATTGGTGGGTATTATTTCATTATTTAATTGTTGAAATTTTTCAAAGTTTACATATCTTTTCAAATATATTTTGTCAAATAATTCATTTTACATTACCATATATTCATTTTCAGGCAAATATTTTTTCATGAAAACTATTGTTTCTTCTATTTTGATCCAATCTACTTAAAATTAGTATTGTTCTCAAATCATTTGCCAAATAATTCTAGATAAAAAATTATATTTGTATAAAAATTTATGATTTAATTAAGAAACCATTTCTAAACTTTATTTCCATCTTCAGTTTTATTGCTTAAAAAGTGTTTAAACTTAATGGTTGAAATGTAGAATCAGTTCTTTCTTTGAATTTAAAAATAAGGTCATTAATTTCTTCTAAAACTTTGGAAATTGTTCTTTCCTCTCCTTCCATTCTTTTTATTAAACTAGGAAACACTGATGCTTGTGTTTGGAGGAAATATAGCTGAAATTCAGCTTCATATCCTCCATACATAAGCATTTTTGTTGTTCATTCAAAAAGAAATTTTTTTAAACGACGTATCAGGACACGTATCAGTTAAAAGAAAATATGATTTTAAAGGATTAAAATAATTGTAACACTTTTCCAACTGCCTGCATTAGATCCCACCAACCTTTTGTCTAATAATTTCAATTATAGACTTAATAATTATTTCTCTTGTTTCTCCGAAAAGAGTGAGTAAATCTAGACAGTTTACTTGAACACCTTCTTTGTAATCAAAATATCTAACAAGGATCAGAAATAGCTCTAAATCTTTGTGATTTGAAGTATTTGTGTGAATGGTTAAGTCAGTGAGTGTTTTCTAATCAGATTTGCAGACAGGAGATTGTGAAGGTTTTTATCACATTTTTAACAATTGCCTCAGTTTTTGGATGTGCGCAACATATTTTTTTTCCGAAAAATAAGCTGTTTTATATTGCCATACAATCCATAGTTCTAAATGACTGTGTGTGACTGCGTAGAATGAAAATACTGCTCAATGCAAGCTGTCAATCCTCCTCATCAAACTTGTTGTTTGCAAAAATGCTGTGTAACACTATGGAAAGATACTCTTGCTTGATTCGCTTCTTATGTTTTTGAAACTCATTGTATCGTGAAACGTTGTTTCATCCACCTAAGTAATTGGAAATATTAATGTAGCAAATGCAATGAACATTGGATTTGTTTTTTTGTTTTTGTTGTATGGAAGGGATTTCATTTCCCATATTTCCATTAAATTTGCATCTTCTTTCCTTGCCTGCCATTTGGGAGGATTCTGAAAAAAGTAAATGTAGAAAATGTTAGTAATTGTACTAAAAATTGAACTATTAATACTTCAACTGTAACTCGTATGGTTTGTTTTTCAGCCCCTAAAAATACATACTGATAGCACTTGATTTAGTTGATGAGATATATATATGTCGGGTTTTTAACAAAAGTTTCTTGCCACCACAAATAACATCTGCACAAACTGTTCCCAGTGGTGTGTTTAATCATATTTTGTCAAACGATCTTCGGCATTTGAAAGAGACTTGCTTTAGAACACTGTGTTGTGAAATTTGTAAAAAAAAATATTATCATTAAGTACAAGGTGTCTGAAATGGAACTCTCGAACATTAGAGCTATCATTTATTTCGAGTTATGTTGCAAACGAATCAGCTACAGAATATCACCAAATCATGTGTACAGCTTGAGGTACTAATGTTGTATCATATTAACTTTGAAGGTTTTTGCTACCAAAAGTTTAAAAACAAGGACTATGACATTTAAGAAACAGAGCGCTCTGGCCGCCCTACTGATATTGATGAGTCACGTGTGCAAGAACTTGTGAAAGAAGATCAGTATGCAATTACTTGAGAACTTGCTAAGGAGTTGGACATTAGTTCCATGTCCATTAGTCATGCTATGCATCGCATAAACTTGATGCACATGTTCACTCACTGGATCCCACGTGAGCTGACTCAAGCAAATAAGGACAGACATGTTCGGGTTTGCATTAATCTGCTCGAATATCAGTGCAAGAATAAGGTTCTGGACTGGATTATCACTTGTGATGAAAAGTCGATTTAATTCAGTAACACTGGCTGAAAAGGAAGTTGGTCCGAACCCGTTGGCAGCGTCGCTAAGCACAATTTGATTAACAAAAAGATCATGCTTTGTATCTTGTGGGATTGCTGTGGTAATATCCACAAAGAGTATCTGGAAAAAGGTAAAACCATCAACAGTAAGATTTACAGTGAGGTGCTAGTCCGTATTGACGCTGTTATCAAGGAAAAATGTTGAACTGAGAACTCTGGTGCAAAAAAGGTAATGTTCCATCAGGTTAATGCAAGACTACATGTGTCTGCATTCACTGGCTGAGCTCTGTACAGACTGGAATGGGATCTTTTGCTACACCCACCGTATAGCCCCATCATTGTTCCTTTGGACTTCTGTCTTTTTCACACCTGCAGCTACATCTTGGTGCTATCTTCCATTCAGCACAGGACATCTGAAATGAGATTGATCTGTTTTTGGACTCATGGCC